GTGCAGACGATTCAGACACAGCTCTTCACTATTAACTAAACTCAATACTGTTAAGTTTTATACAGAGCACAGAGACAGTAAAGAGCCCTTTTATTGAGAGTAAAACTTTGTTTACAATGTACTGTATGAACTGTATATGAAACATGGCTTTGTGAGTGAAGTCACACTTATCTATATCATGTTAACTGCTAAAGCTGTACTGGGCAGACAGTTCAGTGAATCAGAGATGCAGATTTGACTTATGATTGTGGAAATAATGTAGCATTTTAATCTTTATTGTTTATATTTGTCTAAACTCAGGATTATAGTTTTTGTGACTATTACACTCAAGAATACAGGAAGAATCTGATCTTTCTCAGCTTTCGTCATATTACTGTTATTTTTATTGTTATTTATGTAGTTTGTGACATCCTTTGTAAAAGCCAGCACTGTTTTTATTCCTACCTGTGTGGGTGTGTCTTTCCACACCTTTGATCACTTAAAACATCCTAAAGGAATTATGTTTTTCAGTTTGTCTGTTCTATAAATATAAAGATAAATGCTTTAAACATATTTTATGCAAATGGCCATGAAATACACACTGTACTGGATCAGGATTATTTTAGGTATGATGCACATTAATGATATTGGCTGTAATGTTGATGTTGGCAGCTCTGATTCTGTGAAATGTGTTTCTTTTCTGTTCTGTTCTTCTGTTTTTCTTTGTAAAGTGCTGTACAAATAAAACTGAGTGATCCATTAAAGCTGCTTCTCATATGAGTGATTATTTGATCATATGTGTACAGTGGCTGAGAAGACCCTCATAGTGCAATTAAAAACACTCTGCAAACTCATAAACACACTGCAAACACAGAAAACACTTTCATCAACACGGCTACACCTGAACTGCACTTCACAAACACAGTGCAAGTAAAGAAAACACAGGCAACGTCATAAATGCTGCAAAGCCAGTCACAACACAATGGAAGTGAGTCACGACACAACAGAAGTGAGTCACGACACAACAGAAGTGAGTCACGACACAACAGAAGTGCGTCACGACACAACAGAACTCAAAGTGGATGGAATGTCTAAGATGGAAAATCACTGACAGAAGTAGAGAAGACCACAGACACTCGGACACTCACATCCCGAGTTCATGGTCAACCTGGCTGGCTAGTTTGCTATCTGACTGTCGTAGCTATGCAGTAGTTAAACTGGTATTACTAGTTTCATTTTACAGTTAGACGCCCATTAAGATACAGTGATGTCAGTAATCTGCTCAAATAAAGGTTAACTTCCTTTTACCAGTGAATGGCAGCATTTTCAGTATTTACAGTGTGTTTATAAAATTGTTTTCTGCGTTTGCAGCTCGTTTTTAATTGCAGTTTGTTGGATCTTCTCAGTCACTATACGCAGGACAGAGGGGACACTAGTTCTGCAGTCAGAGGTACGTGGTTCTGCAGTCAGAGACACATGGTTCTGCAGTCAGATACGTGGTTCTACAGTCAGATACGTTGTTCTGCAGTCAGAGATGACTGTACATGGTTCAAACTAAAACTGAACATAAAGATACCAGAATGGGGTTCAGTTTCTCACACTGGGTGTGAATAACAGGAAAGCAGTGCCTTTATTTCCAGCTAAAATAACAAACCACAACCCCAAACTAATCAAAATCATAATCAAATCATTAATCAAAAAGAAAACACACTGATCATTCCTAATGAGTTGACTCAAACCAACTCAGACTAGGACCTCAAAGACCCGACAGTTGACTCAGACTAACCAGAAGTTAACTCAATGAGATAAAAGATTAAACAGCCATGCCGGTGTTTCCTGAGAAAATATGTACATGTTGATTTAAATCTCTGTTGGACAACTCATAGAAAAATACCAAGTTAGTTAATCTTATCATACTCACACAACAGGAACACCCTTTTTGGGCAGGATGTCACCACACAAAAACAGAAACAGGAAAGGAAGAGAAAGAGACAAGCACTAGCATATGCCCTGGGACATAAACAGTACTGTAAAACCAAGAGCAGGACAAGACAGACGTTTAAAAAAACAAATAGTTTCCTGAGAAATGTAGAAATGTTCTGTAATAATGACTTAAATGTAATGTTTGCTGACCAGTAAAGTGATACAGTGCAGTAAAGGCATTAAATCAGTGCAAACTAAGGAACTAATAAGAAACATCCACTGGAGTGAAGTCATGAATTAGGTTCTCCGATGGTTCTCCGAATTGGGTCCTCTGCCTTAGTGAAGTATTATAAGGTGTGCTGGCTGACAGGAGTCTGAAGTCATTTTGAAAGCTTGTTTTATTGAGGTACAGGTGTACTTTACTGGGGCAGTGCTGATGGAAGGGCACAGCAGCTTGCCTTTTTATGGCCTCGCCCACAATCTGCCCCCATTGAGAGTCAATGTTTCCACACAAGGCAGTCATGATGATGTCAGAATGATCTGTTGGAGCACAGAGAGGAACCGTGTAGAATATAGTGGCTTTAATGAGGTGAAATGCAGGTCTTGAGAGCTTGTTTTGAAACAGGAGCATCAAACTGAGTCCCTTTTGATCCACAGGTGTGGTTGATGTTACCCTCATCTAACGGACTCAGACTCTCACCTCATTGAGTCTCGACTCAGGCTCAAACCTCAGAGACCCGAGACTTGACTCTGGCTCTCACCTCAGACACTCTAGACTGGATTCAAGATTCAACTTGGACTCTTGCCTCAGAGACTCGACTTGGACTCTCGCCTTGGAGACTCGACTCAAACTCTCGCCTCAGAGATTCAAGACTCGACTTGAGACTCGACTTGCACTCACACTTCAGAGACTCAAGACTTAACTTGGGCTCACACCTCAAAGACTTGAGACTCGTTTTGGACTCTCACCTCAGAGACTTAACAATCGACTCAGACTCTCACCTCAGAGACTCGAGACTTGACTCTGGCTCTCACCTCAGACACTCTAGACTGGATTCAAGACTCAATTCAGACTCTCGCCTCAGGGATTCAAGACTCGACTCAAACTCTCGCCTCAGAGACTTAAGACTCGACTCAGACTCTCGCCTCTGAGACTCAAGACTCGACTCTGACTTTCGCCTCAGAGATTCAAGACTCGACTTGAGACTCAACTTGCACTCACACCTCAGAGACTCAAGACTTGACTTGGACTCACACCTCAAAGACTCGAGACTCTCATCTCGGACTCACACCTCTGGAACTCTTGATGTGACTTGTGCCTCACTGAGTTTGTCTGATGTATTTGTGGCACCTTTCTGTTTTGAGTTTGGCTTTTTAAGGAGGACATGGTAGATTTATGCAATTGTTGCAAGGATCCTTCCTGTAGTATTCAATGTTTGGAAGGGGCCCACAAATAGCTCTGGTGGAAGATCAGAGACTCCCTAATGAAGACATGAATTCTTGCTTCTGCCCTGAGATGTCTTGCATAACATAAACATAAAGAAAGATAAATTACTAATATTTTCTTTAAAGGGTGTTGTGGCATGCGCCCATCCCCTGGCATGGGCCCCATTGACGACTGCGAGAACCGGAGGGAAGACGGGGCCCAAATCCTGTGTCGTGCAGGACACGAGTGACGACGGGAGGAGGACATCAGCTGCCAGACAGTGGATGACAACGATGACGGCCATGAGATGCACGAAGGCGGGAAGCGAGTCCCAAACTCTGTCACCCAGGCCTGGCCTTCCTGCCGGCTCTCACAATCGTCATCAGGGTCCGGGGTACAGGTGCATGCCACAGGTGTATAAATAAAGAGCCAACTGTACATATGCACAATTGTAGTAATATGACTGGATGACATCCACTGTTAAACTGGCATGCTGCATTCATCTACTGAAAAACGTCCAGCTGTCTGGCCTATTTCAGATTCCTCTGGTCACTGCATGAACCCTGGGTGTGCTTTCTGTTCTTTACTATAATCCTCTTCACATCTACAGTAGAACAGATTGAATGTATATGCATTCATTTTAAATCAGACATGCAGGTACACGTTTGTTTTATTGTATTTTATTAATGCATTAGGTTATTCTGACTTTTCTGTGCATTAATGCTTGTTTATTAATTTGGTATTAGCTTATATTCAGAACATTTTCCTCTGATCTGCAGATCGTTTGGAGATAAACAGCACATCAGTTAGTAAAAAAGACAACTCTCTGTCCAGTAATGCTCAGTACTGTCCGCTGCAACCCAAGCTACACCAGGTAATGGTAGGTCCACTGAAAACTGAGATCTATGCTCTGCCCATAATTCCATTGTTTTGTAGCTGCTGCTGGCCTTAGTGGGTTTATGCTGGTCTGGTGCTGGTTTAAACTGGTTTATGCTGGTCTAAACTAGTCTGGAGCAGGTCTAAACTGGTCTAATCTGGTTAATGCTGGTATGGTACTGGTCCAAACTGGTCTGTGCTGGTTAAGGCTAGCCTGGTGCTGGTTTATGCTGGTCTGGTGTTGATCTAAGCTTGTTTATGGTAGTCTAAACTGGTTTATACTAGTCTGGTGCTTGACAAAGCTGGTGTATTCAGGAATAAACTGGTGTATGCTGGTCTAGTGTTGGTCTAAAATGATTTATGCTAGTCTTATGTTATGTCTAAGTTGGTTTACTCTGGTCTGGTGTTGGTCTAAAATGATTTATGCTAGTCTGATGTTGGTCTAAGTTGGTTTACGCTGGTCTGGTGTTGGTCTAAAATGATTTATGCTAGTCTGATGTTGGTCTAAGTTGGTTTACGCTGGTCTGGTGTTGGTCTAGGCTTGTTAATGCTGGTCTACATTGGTTTATTCTAATCTAGTGCTTGTCAAAGCTGGTTTATTCTGGTATAAACTGGTATGCTGGTCTAAAGTGATTCATGCTGGTCTGGTGCTGGTGTAGCTGATCATCCCGCTTGGTCATGCTAGTTGACAATCATACTGGCATCAAAAACAAATCATCACTTCTCAAAAAAGTCTCAATTTTTGTCAATGAATAGACCAATTGAAAATGCTTCAAAATCACTTGGAATAAAATCTCTTCACATTAACATACATTTAATGTTAAGATCATTTTTGCCTTTTCCTATAAAATTATACGGTTTTACTGGTGAACAGCTATGCTGGTTTTTCTAGCTACCAATTCTAAACCAGCTGTTAAGTTTCTACTTATCAATCAGTTGTTTATCCCTGAACACTACATCTCTATCATTACAGTGGGGCCTTTCACACACGTACAAAAACATCATTAGAAATGAACAGCTCGCTCTAAATGAGTTGTGAACGGGATCTACACCAGCGTTCTGTAAAGCTTGTCCACCTTACTAAATAACTCATTAGTGGGCGGAGCCTGGATAGCTCAATTCTAACATCTCATGCTGGTAAATGTTTGCTGGCCTGTACTGAGACTTTTGCATAGGTCACACGTTCCGAAGCAGATGCTGGGGTTCTCGCAGTAGATGCTGTGGGCTCTGCTTCATGTCTAAGACTGGTGTACTGCAGGTCTTCTTCCTGTGGAGAGAAGTCTAGTTACAGGGAACATAAAGCGTAAAACCAGCAGATTTGTTATAATCTACATTATGCTCAGACTTTTGAACAATAACGTGATCTAGATTGTCATTAAATTGAAAACGTTCCTCATACCTCAGTTGTGTCTCTGGTGTCACTGCAGCAGCTACATGAAGTTGACTTTTCTGAAAGACAGTTAATTTCGCCAAATTGTAGTCAGAAATGTCAAAATTATAACATTTATTTATTTACTCTGCATACGTTGAAAATATGATATAAATTGGCCTGAACAATGTATCTGTTTCTCTCTTCTGTAAACCAACTTCAGGATCTACTGGTGGATTCACTCTAGTATGCATTGATTGGAGTGAAAGCTGTGAAGGTTGGAACTGAATGTAGGGACTGGTTTTGATCTTCTTGCGCTGTTAGAAATAAAGGTTCTGTGCAGGTTAAATGTTCCCTCAAAGGTACTACAGTGGTTTTAAGGTCTGATTGTGAACCTTAAATAAGTGTTTCCAGGTGAAAAGTTCGGATTTGTACCTTTTCATAACCGAATGTTTTAAACAGAACAATAAAATAAAAGCCTGGAGACGAGACGGGGTGTGTGGAGTCAGTACAGCTTAGAAAATATGGACAGTAGAGGAGATATTTTATCATATTTTTATGCTGTCTTTGCGTGAGACTCGTCTGCTATGGCAGTTGAGAAACACGCTGGCAGTACAAGACCACTTGGTCAGGCTTGGCTGTTGTTATAGCCCCCTTGCCATAACAACAGCCAAGCCTGAGGTGGTAAGACTTGGGTGAGTATATTATAATTATTAATAATTTATTTAGCTTTGGTTACCATACACTTACACATATTTTAGTATATTAAAAGTTACATACACTGATAAATGATGTAAATCCTCTAAGGTACTACAGTGGTTTTAAGGTCCAACTGAGAACCTTAAATAAGCTTTTCCCACATTTGTACCTTTTCATATCCTCATCTTTTAAAACAGAGCAATAAAACAAAGCGTGGAATCAAAATAAAGTGTGTTTAGTCAATACAACCTAAAAATTTAACCGTAATACAGGGTGTCTCCAAAATAAGGCAACTCTCATATAAAATGAAAACAGTTTGGCAGAGGGTGATCCAATTTTGGAAATCAGGAAATGTCTAATGTTGGTGTCATGGCCTAACAGGTTTCCCCCTTCCCTCCACAGATTATCTAAAATTGGATCACTGTCTGACAAACTTCATTTCATACTTGGAGACACCCTGTAGAATATGTTATAATTATGTTCCCTAACTAAAGGTGCTGAAGACGTACCATTAGCTCTGCCTTTACACTGTTCTGGTATGTCAGCGCAACCTCGCGCAACGTATCTTATCTGTGTTCGACAGAAAGCATCGGTTCCGTCAGACGGTTCCGTGCATTATGGGTCTGGTGCGTCGAGTCTGGGGGGTGTGGTGCGTTCAAAAGTTAAGTCAAGCTAAACTTTATGCAAATGAATCCAGTCAACATGGTGCACCTTCCCAAACAGGAAGCAGCTGGTGTTTGCATGATTCGTGTCTGCAGTTTAAGGTATGAAACATCGGTTCTACTTTTCAAATGTTCCCACGAGACACAGAAGACCAGCAGCAAATATATTCAAACACAACTGTTCACCAGCAGAATTTAAAACCTGAGCAGGAAAACACCTGGATGAGTGATAATAAACTGAACTAATGCTGAGCACAAGTGATGATCAACTACCTAAATTCTTCTTAACGTTTTGGAAAATATCAGTTTAATGATGCATACTACTTTGCCTTTCTAATTATTAAATAAATAGAAGGATTGCTTACATAAAAATAGACCACATTTCAACTGGATTTAGCCTCCCTTGTAATACACACTCAAGGGGGGGCACTTTCCCTGAGAGTGCAGTAACAGCACCCCCAGAAGGATGGCCCTGGTGGTGCCAACTACCGCCCACAGAAAAATGACTGGTCATCTGGCAGAAGCAGTTCAGCGAGACATTAACGCGCAGGAGAGCAAAGAAAAAGTAACTGCAGCTTGGTTGTAGTGCGTCGGTTCAGGTTCAGCTGGATCTTCATCTCTGTTATTTTCCATCTTGGCTATAAAGGGGCTTCGTCAGCAATAAGGATGAGCTACAACGACCGGAATATCTTCATTATCGACATAGCAGCGGGAATCAACAACAGCGAATGGAACCATTCAAAGTATGTCTCAGTCAGACTTTTACTTTCTGTAATTTGCAAACAAAATGCTTATAAACTGCCTCACAATCAAAAGATAAAGTAGGTAACACGATTTATTATTAGTCATTGATCATTAGTGTCGTCTCTGTAATACTATGAACCGATCAAAATGGGGAAAATGGTTCAATTAGATATGTGTCTTTGAAAAATGTGACCTGTTTTGAGGGGGCCAATGACCCAAAACCCCTAAATATAGTAGTTGGAGGACATGGGGGTTAATACAAACACCCTTCCTTTTGCACTGTAATGTCACACTTTTTAAGCAGGAAAGTAAAATTTTCGAATACTAAGTAGGTACATGGGGTAAAAAGATGGGACAAAGATATCTGAAGACAAAAGAGTCTCTGTAGTTCCTGTAGGTTCCTGCCTGCTACTTAGAAAACTGTGTTATGAAAGAAAGCAATGATTCTTACTATGGCTTAACTGGGTGTTTACCATTTTACTAGAGATTGTTTTCATTTACATTCCTGTTTAAATGTGTGACATTCCAGTGAATTTGATCTAATTATGAGATATTAAAGAAGTAATTTCTGCTGTTGGGCATTTCAGTGTAATTTGGTTAAATTATCTTTGAACTCACCATCATGTCACACATTCAAAAAACACAACTGACTATTGTACATGTTAAGAATACAAATCAAGTTGATATTAATTGAACTGACATTTTTAAAATGTACTCAAAGTAGTAGTTTTAAAAGAATGTAATCATCACAAACATGAAATCAGCCACAGTGATTTCAGAACTGTGTTTTTGAATCTTGTGGGATTCCATCTGCTGTTACTCATCTCTGTTGAGTTAGGGGAATGTTTTTAATGACTTATAGAGTCTGACTGTCCACCCTCGACATTGTTGGTGTTACCACATTCTCTGTTGCTGAGTGTGTTTGTTAACTGTCTGGACACCACAGACCACTTTTAAACCAACTCTCGTAAGAGTGTTAATTCAACACTAGTTAATCAAGTTCAATGAACTTCAATGAGTTGACAGCAGATTAATTTTGGCGAATTGTAGTAATTTGTGTTGGATTACAAAATTGCCTTATTTTGAAAGAAATTCAATGAATTTAAACTGTATTGAAATACAGTCCATAAAGTTCAGGTAAAGAATGATTTTTCTGAGTGTACCCTAAATAATAATCTAGAACTCTGGAGCTTGTACCTCATCATTCCTAGTTAATACCTAGAACGTACAAAACTGTAAAAAAAATCATTTGTTTAATGCTTTTTTTATTTATTCATTTAATTATTATATATCTTTGGAAAATTGTTCTCTGTCAGAAATGAGAGGGTTCTAGGACCATGTAAATAGTTCTCACCTTGCGTTCTGCTGCAGAACACACAGATGCAGATGATGTTCATCAGGACACAGAACATGCAGACACACATTAGGGTTATAATCATAATCCAGGAAAGTCCACATCCTGCAGAGAGCCGGGAACGCTCAGACACGTTAACAGGTACGTCAAACTCAGGAATTCCATCATCTGAAACACAATAACACACACAGACAGACGTCTGAGTGTGGTGATGATGAACGTTGGCTCTGTAAGATCAAAAATTAAAGTACTGGGCAGCTTTTTCATATCGTCTTTTTGTTTTAACCACACCCTGAACACGCAACCGTTCACACGCAAATGAGTGTGTTTGATGAAGTATGTTTCTTAGAAATAACAAACACTTTATTTGAGCAAGCTTTTGATCTGTCTACCAATATTTGCCAGCTGACAAAATGTGATGCATTAAACAAGCATTGTAAGTTTGGACACAACAGTACAAATCATTTCTTTCATTTTACTAAAGAAGTAAACATTTATATAAACATCTGACACTATAAACATCTGTCACACGTTTGACGGGTGCACTGCCCTCCACAGCCCAATGCAATAGAAATTTGGTGAGTTAAAAAATCTATCCATACCAATTTGATATTACAAATTAAACATTTTTTGTAATGATTTACCTTTACACACAGTGTGTTTAAATACTATTTCAAGCTAACAGGATGAAAATCCTAGGACTAGTTTCAAATGTGCTCATTGTGAACAATGTCCAACTGTGGGCATACAGTGCATTTTGAAATGCATAATTTAAATCCAATTTACTTGCATATACTTCTAAAAACATGAGCATTGCCTGCTTGTGGCCAATTGTGAAATTCCAGTGGCTAGAAGAGAGCCCATTCATGGACAAACCAATGAAGTTTTGAGATGACTGACTAGTGCTAAGTCTGTAAAATGGTGGACAGTTATTGGATAATCACAAAAACTGTTATAAAAGCATGTACAAAGAGTTAATGAGCCAACTTTCAAACTGATTGCACAACAGATATAGTGCCCTGTTTTACAAAAGATATTAGCACTAACCTGGAAAGTTCAGCCTGATGGCTTTTCCGAAATGAACGGGATCTGAACCATTTCGTCCTCCACAGTAATACAGACCCAAATCAGTCTCGTTAACTCCAATAATCACTAAACTGACTGAACTGGTGTTTTCTGTTGTATCATAGTGACCTTCATCCACATTATGATTGAGGAAAAATAATTTATTCAGTTTTCCTTTTCCAGCAGAAACCAGCAGCTTCATCTCTTCTGAGCTCTGTTGATACCATGACATCTCATCTGCAGTGATGTCACAGTGCAGGGCGATGTCTTCTCCAGGATGGACAGGTCTGAGGTCAGATGAAGTTCTCTGAAGGATACACAGTCTGAACGTTCCTATAACAATAAAAGAACCGTAAGACAGCAGGTTCATCACTCTCCAAACCAGGACTGCACAATCAGAATCGGCCAAGATCAGAGCTTCTGATTAAATAATGAAATATTTATATTTGGGCAGTTTTATGAGCTGAGTAAGGTGAGGCAGGTAAGTGCATTCGTATTTGAATGCTACTGCTACACCTGAACCAAAATGTCGTAGTCTAACTACACTAGACTCATTAGACTTATTAAAAAAATCATAAACGGTTCATCCCTACTCCAAATCCCTCAGCCAGCGTTTTCTCCAAGAAGACACATTCAGCATCTCCTTCAGTCTCACTGACCAGAGGCCATACTACAGAAACATCCTGTCTTTTATTAGCGATAGGAGTTAAGATCTGACAAGGTCAGGACAAGATTTTTCACAAATTTGTTTCAAATCCTAATTAAGAACACATATCTTACAGCATCTCATCTCAAATTAAGACATACTACACTACTTGATAAACAGCTGTTATCACAACTGCTGATGCGTTCACAGCTGGAGCACAAACTTGTAGCCAAAGTAATGTTAAAATGTTATTTAGCTACCGATGTACAAAACTGTTTTTTTCAGTAGAAGTTAGGACAGTATTTAGAAGATTTAGTCTAATTAGGCTGTTTGTGTAATACTTACTTACTTTCTTATCTGGAGTTAATGATAAGCTTATGAACTTAACTTCTGTCCTAAATTCAGTCCATACTGAAGTTGTCATGGTGACTAAACAGATGAGATTTTAGAGTTAAGAAGTTTCTGTAATACGGCTCTCAGAGACTAAAAGAATTTAGGAATATATGTCTTGCTATGGCATGTCACAATGCCACCCACACATTCCAGAGGCCTCCAATACACAGCTAGAATACTATTCACAGTGAGATCATTCTCTAACAGCTGTTCAAGTCAAGTCTAGTCAAGAGGCTTTTATTGTCATTCCATCTATGTACACAGTGGAGTGAAATTACGTTCCTCCAGGAACAACACGGTGCAACATGGAGCAAAACAGTACAGAGTACAAACGTGCAGACATGAGCGTGCAAACAAAGAATTAAGGTAGAAACAATACAATAAATACGATAAATTAAACAGACACTAGACACAGTAAACAGACAGGACAGTGCAGCACCGACACAGCACTCATTTCTGGACATGAGGTTGTGGAATAAGGTGCAGAGATATTTAACATGCTGTGATCTGTAAGTTACGCAGTCAGATAACAAACATAAACACAGCAGTTACTGAGTTACTGTTCACTATTCTTTTCTACCCAGTAATCCACGAATACTCACCAAACAGAAGCTGTGTCAGAAACACAAACAGGACCTTGGTCATTTCTCATTGAGATCCTCCAGTAATCTGTGGCAGTTTCAGATTGTTTATACGTTTGATCACTGTGGCGTGATACTTAGTCAGATACAAACTTTCAGTTCCTAGAGTGAGTTTCAAATCAGTTTTAGACAGAAAACAGAAAGTCACTGCATCCAGTTCTTTTAGAGCGTCCAATAAACCCCCAGCCTTATTACCAGCCCAGAAACATGCATAAGAACATCATTCATCTACACATTCATTCATTTTTTCATTCATTTCTTGCTCTATTTAGCCCTTTTGTTGCCATGTGAAGGCTAAAGCAGAGAGCTACCAACAGATTTTACAGTGATCTGGCTGTGTGTTTGTGCTGTGTTTCTGGGTTGTGGGATGTTAGAGCTGGTTTCTCTCACTCTGGCTAGTGAGGTCAGGTTCCTCTGGTGTGAATCATGTTGCTATTTTAACCCTTTGTTTATAATATGAAGGCTAAAAGCAGAGAGATAATATAACAGTAGTGAGTCGGTTGTGGGTGATTTTGGAGCTGATCTCTGGCTGATTGGTGGTCATGGGTGGATGAAGTCACTCTGGATGGTGAGGCAGAGTCTGATGAGTGATCTGATGTGTGAATCATGGCACTGTTTTAAGCCTTTGTTGGAACATGAAGGCTAAAAGCAGAGCAATGAATTTAGGATTTTGGGTGATTTTCCAAGCTGAGTTACTCACTGATGCTGATGAATGACTGATGAATGGCAGCAGCTCCATACCAGGCCTCTCTGCTGAAAGACAAAACCTCTGCTGATCTGTCTGTCACAAGCATCAAATAAAACACTGAATGTGTTTTAGCAGCTTCAGATGTCTGTGTTTCATCTAGAACAGCCAAATAATATTCATGCAAATTGTTGTTAGCTTAGTGCTAATAAGCTACTAACATCCTATAGTGATTTTAGCTGAAGTTATAAGAAGAAACTACAGACTCTCCGTGCCAGCGGCATTGGCTAGGCCTGTAAAAATCCAGAGCTTAGTTCATTGTATAATTATTTTCGGATGTGTTCCCTTATATATAAGCACTACCCCCCCTCCCCACCTCAAACCTAAAAAAAGAAAAAAGTCATACTATTTCGAGAAACAAAGTCAATATATTGAAAAAAAAGTCAGAATATTTTGAGAAAAAAGTCGTAATATTTTGAGAAAAAAGTCATACTATTTCAAGAAAAAGTTGTAATATTTCGAGAAAAAAGTCGTACTATTTTGAGAAACAAAGTCTTTGATTTTCCTCACGTTTTGACAGAGTTTTGACATTTACGGCCCAAATTGAATGCCTAGCTCTAATAGTCATGGCTCTCCAGTGGCAAATAGAGAATCTTGTCTTTAGTCTTGTGTTCTGCAGTCAGCAGCCTTCTTTCTCACAACACCAGGACAACCAGTGCACAGCTCTGTAATCAGGTAAGGACAGGTAGCAGTCCATTGTTAGCAGTATTGTTCATTGTTCATGGTGCCAAGACTCCTAATAGAGCCTTGGGTGGAATATGTTGATGGTATCCACCTATCTTCTCAGCCCTCCCATTACTGCTTAGCAACCATTACTATCATAACTATTTGTTAATTATGAGTGTCATGATGTCTGAATTTAAGCTCCAGCTGTGGTCAAAAGATGTAAAGCTACCAGAGGGAGCTGGAAAAGTGAGACCTTGTCCCTGATAGAGTAGGATATGTCATGTTCTACACATGCAAAGCCAATTTTGGTACTTCCAATGCTCTTTTACTGCAAACTTAAAATGTAATAAACCTTTTAAGGTAAGACATTAATGGTCCATAGACATTTTTCATGCTCGCTGTGTCAGTATGCTTTAGCCTAGATTGGCTAGGTTTAGGTTTTAAATTAGATGCTGTTTGTTTTCATCTTTGTGCATCTCAGCTGTGTGATTTTAACTGTCATGTTTAACTTGGTTTATCATCCTCATTGGGCTGAAGTTGTGTCTGTGACTGGACGCATGCTTTGTAGTGACAAGTGTTTGAATCTAGCATTCTGGTTGATGTGTAAGGCAAAGCAAGTTTATTTGTATAGCACCTTTCATAAACTGCTGTCATTCAAAGTGCTTTACAAATAACAGAATACAGTTGTTCAAAAATGTAAAGAAGAAAAGAAATGATTAAAACATGATTAAAACTGATTTAAAATAAAACCATTCACTTAAAAATCAAATTAGAAATTAAATTAGGATAATTAAAAATCAAGTTGAAAATAAAAAAATAAATAAAAGTTAAATTAGGATTAAAAAGTGCCATTACAGAGGAAAAAGGCTAGAAACTCTACACAGTCTTGCTATAGTTTTGTGTTACCATTGAGTGCCAAGCACAACAGGAAGAGGTAGAAGCCTGAGGTTATGACTTGCAGAAGTAGTGCATTTGGAAATTGTATCTACCATTTTGGCCTACATAGTTTTCACAGGCCTTTGCAATCATGTGCTTCCATTTACACCACTTTATTCCTACCACACACTGAAGAGCAAATAATGATGATGATGATGATGATCATATCCGTACTGATTTCATCGTGTAGCCAGACTATGGTGACTACTGCACCATCCTAACAGCCATCGGTGTAGCACCCCTTTAAAATTTTCAGCACCCTGGTGAAAAAGTCAAGCACTGTTGTGCATCAATGTCATTGATTAGGAATGAATGTTGTTATTAAAATTGTAGCCCTGTCTAAAATGAAAACTTCTGAATCCTTAAAATTATTTACAAAAGTTCATTATAAACAGTAAAGTTTGTGTAATAGTTTTAAAATATATATATATGTCAATCATTAGTAAAACGCAGCCAAGGGCAGGCCAGAGAGAACCGAAAGGAGGAGAAACTGCAGCCAATAATAAGAAAGAGACACGTACAGCCATTAATGCACAGAGGAACAATATATTGCACCTGCTGCATCAGCATTATGGCGAGTGGTTTTCCCCTTGACCTCATTACAAACCTAAATAAGGAGCTTCTCTTTATCTCTTAATTCATTCATTTGGGTGAAGCAACCAGTTCATGTTGGGTCTCTCCGTTCCCGAGTGTCGAACCAGGTCTGTAATGTTTGTTTTTTCTTTCTGTTTTTTTCCAGTGTTTGGAGGGTTTGAATGTTTGAGGGCCCACACAGCATAAAAACTGTAGCTTAAGTTGAGTTTTTATTCCTAAACTTGACAAAACCAGATCCAGACCTTAAAAGAGCCTAACTAATGCTGCTCTGTAACTTGTACAAAGTAAACTCAATAAAAGCTGAAGCCTTTATTTATCTTACAGGTAATCAATTCTGCTGTTTTGTATAACATCTCATGATTTTAAAGAAAGCACAAAGTAACTTCCAGCTTATTTCTACTAATCTGAAAAGTGCAGAAGATTGTTATTATTGAAAATCCTTTATAATCTATATTTTGTCATTAAGTCTTGCTAATTGTTGTTATAAACTTAATAGAAAAGATTCATTTGAATATATTTACATACAAACTCGCAACAACACTCTCTTTGTAAAAGGTGTGTTTGAGTTCAATTTTTATTTGAGTACGTAGTTTACATTTGAGGCTAATTTCTACATTTAAAAGACATAAACACATAAGGTGGGGGACAGAGCAGCCAGACTGATCCTGTCTGTCTTTAACTCACACACACTCACTCATTTCAGCCCTCTGAGCGGGAATGTTTCTCAGATCAGGGTCTGAGGTGACCAAATGGAAAGACATCGCAGATTCAGCCAGGACGTCTAAACGTTCACACTGACAGGCAGTCGAGGAGGAGAAGAGAGGCACATGTGGAGTGTAACGCATGGAGTTAGCTTTGCTTCAAGCTTCCACTCCAACCCAGATAGCAGAGAGCTTTGCTGTACAGCTGGACCCCAACATTCGGCTGTTCGGATATTTGTTCATCAGGTACTCAGTTTTTGGTCATTTTGGGATTCAGATATTTGGGTTTTTTGCCTAAATGTAGACTATTAATGAAGGGGAATGGCAAACTGCTGTAATGTTACGGGTTCTGGGGAGAAACTTTGACCTCTCAAGGTTATGATCCACAATGCAGCTTTATGCAGCCAAACTGTGCCAAAAAATGCCAAAAAGATTTGAGGTTATTGTGAAGTGACCACCGATGCACACTGATCTGTTGTCTGGGTCTGGGTGCAGGTCACACTGGACGATTCTGAGCAGAACCTGGGTTTATGTCCATGCTTTGGTGCCATTCTTGCCTCAATGCTTTTACCACTCCAAGGTCCTTAGAGAACACATGCAGCACGCTTCTGCCACACGTTTCACTGAGGTTTGAAGTCCATCCACCGAAATACTCAAACACAGCTATTTTTATGAAGGCAGTCAAACACCACTGTGAGGAAAACCTCGCTGTGCTGCGCTGCTGGTGTGCACTTGCTTTTTAAAGGGAGTGAGCGTGAGATCTTGCATGTCACATCTTTGCTGAAGATAGTACATGTGAAAATACCATAAACACTACACACTCTTTAAGAGACTGTGGTTTTAAAAGACTATGTGATTCAATTGCTTGTTGAGTGTCTAGACATTGAGGATTAAGCTGGAAAATGCAGCTGCCTGTCTCTCAGGGGTGGTCTTTACACTAGGCCAAGGGTTACATGCTCTAAGGCTACATGTGGCTGTTTTAATGCCCTCATGTGACTCAACAGCAGGAGGTTATTTTTAGGCAAAAATAAATTTACTTTGCAGTAAAATAAAGCTTTGCTAAACTTCCTAACACACATTCCCAACACAGTTTCAGTAAATGGTCTTAAACTTCTTATATATTTATAAATGGTCTTCAATATTGCTAATTCTCCGACCTTTAACCCTGAAGGTTGGCACGCAGACTGCTGGTCATACAGCAAAGCAGACAACAATCTCACCTAGCTAGTAGCTAATGAAAAGAAAAGAAAAGATTTAATATAAATAAATGGGAAAATTCAAACAATGAGCTGGCGATTGAGAAGCGACTCGAGAGGCATTTTCCAAAAAATTATTCCACTTTCATGGTAAAGTTTCCTGCTGGAGATGTGAGCT